GGAGAGCGTTCCGTTTTCAGAAACCTCTGGTAAAGACGTGGAACCGCAGCAGAACCAGCCTCTGTAACTGACTGGATAATTACAGTCGGAGACAAAAACACAGTTAATCCTCACGTGGCCTCGTTCTTTCACCGACGGCTGATTGGATCACGTGGATCACATGGTCACCACCACGACAGAAACTGATTCCCATCTTTATTCTGTGGCGATCACATGATCTCGACCTCACACCGGGGGAATTCCAACGGGAGATTACAGGGATTTAGACTCTGACCCCAAACTGGGCCACGGGCCACAGCTTTGATGGGCTGTGGACTCATGGGACTATGTCAGCATTTGTCTGGACAGATGAAAGGAATCAGAAGGATTCTGGGATAGATTTGTGTAAACGTTGCTGATGTTTCACAGATACGGCTTCTTTTTTTTTGGTGGACACGTTCGTCCCAGAACGCTGTCCCCTCAGACGGAGGACGTCCCGACGTCACAGCGGACGATGACTGTTTATCAAAGGCAGTGATCTGAGGAAACTGCCGGAGTTCAGAGAACTTAAAAGGAAGTCGTTTGGTTTGGTGACAGGGACTCGTAGAACCTGAGGAGCGTACGGTACCTTCGTCCTTCTCCTCCTGTCCGATATCAGCCACGATGTCGTCGATGGTGTCTGGGACCACGTTACACTGTTCACCCTGTGAACACACACACACACACACACTGAGCCAGGGTTTTGGTTGTCAATAACACATCAGCCTGTGAGCCGCCGACATTTAGAAACCGACATAATTATCTCCTGAAAATCAAACTGTAATTTGACTAAATTGGCCGTAATTTCCCACCAAACGAGTTTGTTGTTTTGTTACCTTTAGTTTGGGCTTAAAAAAAAAAAACCAAAAAACTCTGAGGGACTGAATGTTTCCATCAGACGTCACCAGGCAGATGATCTGAGTATTTCAGTACCAACTGTTTACGATACGATTTATCATGTTTTATACGATATGATTTAGTGCGATTTTTTTGTTTGAATCCCTGATTCAAAGTCAAACTGGTCAAACTGGTCAAACTGGTCAAACTGTTCTGCTCTGATTGACCTGGTTAACTGTCAGGAACTGGAAAGAGTTCCTTTCTTTAAAGGAACTCTGGAAAGAACTGTTGGTGTCTGAGGAACAAGTTCTTCCCACGTTCTGTTCCAACACCTGAACGTCTCTTAGCCTACGTAGGGACCTGACGTCTGGGTTTAATAGTGGGTCACAACCAATGTTTTTAGGAACATACTGCCACCTACTGTACTGGAGTGTGTAGTGTCATGGTTTGACCAGTGACTTTTTGTTTTATTTTTTATTTCAGAATTCTCCCAGATTCGTATCGATTTTTAACTGACCTTCCTGGCGATGCGCTCTACCACCAGCCTCGCCACCGGGTTGATGGCTCCGCCCTCTGGGTCATAGAATGGACTCTGGGGATGGTCCAAACTGGTCAGGGGTCGGATCTTCTCCTGAGGGATGGCGGGTTTGTTGGGTGACTGGAGGGACAGTGACATAAAGAAAGAGTTTTAGGAGGAAGTCATCGAACCAGATCGGTTCCTGTCGGTTCTCGATTGTTTGAGTTTCAGCCACAAGATGAGAAGAAAAAGATAAAAAAAAAACCACCTCAGAGGTGACGTGTGGACCGAGCTGTGGGAGCGGTCTGGGTTTAGAACGGTTCTACGTCTAAGACTGTACCTGTCGCTCTGATCACTGGTTCAATTCCCTCTTGTTTCTCTGTCATCAACAGCTAATGTATTTCTGTCGGCTTCTCTCCCCACTGCTGTCACTCACGCCCAGGTGTCTGTGAATGGGGGAGTCGGGTGAGTCATCACAGAGACTTCAGTCTGCTGCAGATACTGTTGGACCCGACAGGATTGATGACGAACAGTTCAGACAATTCTGGAGTTTAAACATTTTATGTTCTGATCTTCGACAGCGACAGGATCTTTTTTGAATTTGAGAACAAAAGATCAAATCTGTTCAGAACGGTACCAGAAACTACACGGTACTGTTTATAAGACTTTGTTTTTACTGAAAGAAAGCAGAACCACTTCAATTTGTCAAGTTTCAAAATGTTCAGACCACCTGAGCGTTTCAGGGTCATTTCATGTTTGTTTTTTGAATTTAAGAGAAAAGAAAATCAAATGTTTTTGTGAAAATAGACAAAAGAAATGTCTGACCCAACTTTGAGAAAACATTTGAAAATCTGGCTCATCCAAATTTCTAATTACGCAGCCCAGCCCTGCACAGTAGGCCTAGACTGCCATGGAAACTCCCATGAGTTCCTTTGAGTTTTAGATCCTGTTTATTAAAGATTGGAAAAACAAGCAAGAAAAACGAGAAAGAAAGACAAAAACGAGGAGACGGCTAACTGTAGCACAACAAACAGCTGAATTAGCTTCTCCAGCACGGTTCTACGGTAGCATAGTTTCCACCACTGTTGTTTTTTGCGTTGCGTTGAGCGCAAATCAGCGCTAAAGGTCTGTGATCCGGCGCAGACCTTTGAAAACCTACATCAGTTTTCAAAGGTCAACAACTTGTTGACAAACATACAGAGGTCGACAAATATAAACACAGAGAGATCATCGGTTCTCTGTGCAGGGACCGGGTCCAGTACTGCAGCTGTGGAGGAAAAGGTTAGAGAAATGTATCGATAACATTTCTGAGCTGCAGGAGTCGCTGGGCCGACGTGAATTTACCCCCCGGGTGAAGACACACCTGCTGCTCTCAACATCGACATTTTTTGGGGTTTTTGTTTAATGTTTCCTTTAAACACCAGGGGGGGCTTTTACCACTCGACTCCCCGGGGGTAGAACTCTAGACGTTTCAGTGTGAATCTGGGGCTGAAGAAGCTCAACAGCCTTTGTGTTTGCTACAAGTGAAGACGGGCGACTGTTCCACAGGGGGTATCTGTGTGTGGGTGGAAGGAGGGGCTATTCCCATTTCCCCACATTAGCGTTGTATAAATGATGCACTCTGGTGGTAAATTAGTTGGATGTCCTGCAGGAGAACATCTGCTCCTGTATCCTGGTTCTCCACCGCGCTGCAGGGCAGAGAGTCTGTGCCGCGGCCGCCCAAGGATTGGTGAGAATAATCAAAGTTAAACAGCCAACATCGGGAGCCTGGGAATTACTGGTGTAGCACAGAATGCTAATCCAATAAAGGCAAACACCGCGCGCATGTTTATGAAAAAGAACGACTTCCTGAGCGAGAAACAACGTAATTTCTCTGGAGGGAGAAGAGAGAAAAACGGCAGAACTTTGAAGAAGAATTATTAAAAAAAGTAAGAATAAAAAAAAAAAAAAAGAATTATTAAAAAAGTAAGAACAAAAAATAAAAAAAAAAACTGCAGGGTTTTTTATTGTCTACAGTTCTCCCTCCTGACCAAACAGACAGAACCCTGGACTGGACGGACTTCTACAAACCTGGACGGTCCAGTTGTCTTCTCCTGAACAGGTTGACGACCAGGATGATTGACGGCCCACACAGACATTTTTAGTTTCTGTCAAACTTCCAACAAACAGTTGGATCTGGCGTTCACAACCAAACTTCTGCCCCCGACTACGGACGTAACGATGAACCAAGAATGGATTAAAAATCGATGCGAACCCGAGACAATTTTTATCGATTGAAATAATGAATGGGTCACGCATCAAGGAGTGGAGGCAAAAATATTGATAAATTATATAAAGAAAAAATTTAGAAAAATTGAATCGTAAACAAACAAAACATCACGATTAATTGTATCATAAGAGAATAGTGACAAATCGTATCATGAACAAAAGATCGCGAATCGCATCGCATTGTATTGATAAATCGTATCGTAAACAAACAAAACATCGTGATTAATTGTATCATAAGAGAATCGTTATGAATTGTATCGTAAACAAAAGATCGTGAATCACATCGTATCGTGAGTTGAGTACATCGTTACACCCCTAGCCCCCTTTGACCCCGCCCCTCCCCCCACAGGTTCCGCCCACAGTCAGAATTCACCTCGTACGTGACTCCGCTGTCGGTTCCGGCGTCCCAGGGAATCAGGTCGGTCACCAGCCTCTGCACCCAGCCACACTCCTTGGTGCACAGGTCCTCTCCGGACAGACCCACGTTCCAGTCCGGACTGGGCCCCAGCATGGTGAGGAAGGACATGAGGTGACGGCTGCGGTCCACGGAGAACTCAGCCGACGGAGCGGCGCGTCTGGAATCACAACCAGCAGGAAGAGACAGGAAGTTGACCAGAAATACGGAACCGATTTATCACGTTGGTCCGGAGACTAAAACAGTTCTGGAGAAAATGTTTTCCTCCGCTCTGGTCTTGTTATAGTCCAGAGGAAAGGTAATGATTAGAAAGCATGGGCAGTGATGATGTCACATGTCACCTTTGACCCCGGTGTCTCGCAGTTAATCTCTGTATAATTAAGACCAAGAAAAATATCCAATTAAAGGCAGAGATTAGCTGCTGCGCATGTGACAGAACCGTTCTGAATAATTACGCAGAGTGTGTGTGTGTGTGTGTGTGAGTGTGAGTGTGTGAGTGTGTGTGTGATACCTTGTCTAATTGGTCTTTAAATAAAACGTGTGATTCTTGAGGTGTTAAAGACTGTTTTTTTTTAAATAAAATAAACTCGAACATTTCTACGGTGCGAAAAAATGTAATTATAGAAAGAGAAAAGTTCATTAAAACTTTTCTAATCAAACATTTTCTTCTGGTAATTATAGAAAATAAAACACAAAAAAAAATGTGATTTCATGATTCACTTTAACTTTAGTTTTTTTTCTGTTTTTTTTTTTGTCACAGGACGCGTCCTACGTTTATTAAACATAAAAAATAGGAATCAAAAAAGAATCCAGCAGGAACTGGAACTGTTGAAACTGAACTTTTCACCAATATAAAATTAATTTTCAGATCCAGACATAATCATAAAACTAGTTACTAAATGACAATTATCGATCTCCGATATTATCGATCCGATGCTAGCATAATTATATCTGTAAGAATCGTAATAGTTTTTTCCTCCGATAATGAAAACCCAATAACACAATATCTAGGTTTGGCCAAATTACGTCATTGGTCCTAGAACAAAATGATCCACCAGGGGGCAGAAGTCAAGTTTGTTTTTTTTTAACCACCAAATAATCGAAAGAAAAATATAAAAATGACAGAGCGGCTGATCCAGGTCTGAACTTGAGTCGACCCTTTGACCCGACGATCCATTGACCTTCTGACCCTTTGACCCCTGGCTATATAATGCGTGTATTTCCCATCAGTGTCAGTGACCTGACGTGATACTCACAGGTTGAGGGGCTGCCACGCCGGCCACTGAGCCTTGGTCTTAATGACCGTCAGAACCTCATCACCCTGTGGAGAGAGAGAGAGGGCGAGAGAGGAGGGGGGGGTAGAGAGTGATCAGTCATTAAACTGATGACTATAAAGGATCTAAAAAAAGAAGCGTTGGCAGAGAACAGACGTGAGCGACGGAGACTCCTGTCATCAAGGACAAAACCTGATTCTCATCACAGCAGGAGGACGGATTTGGTTTGATGAGTTTTTATATTTTACCTTTTATGTTGAAAAATAATCTGTTTTGGAAACACACACACACACATACACACTCAGACGGGTGTGTGTGTGTGTGTGTGTGTGTGTGTGAAGGAGCTTCAGTTTCAGCCAAAAAGAAAATCCTTCTTTTTCAGAATGAGTGAAGGTTCCAGAGTCACAGAGAAAGACTTTCGTCCTCCCTGGGGCAGAGTGTGTGTATGTGTGTGTGTGTGTGTGTGAGTGAGTGTGTGTGTGATTCAGGAGAAAACAGGTTTAGGAGTCACACTGTCCATCTTTGCTTCAGAGCAGCCTGAGGCCGAGCTGTCTTTGACCTCAGACTACACACACACACACACACTCACACACACACACACACACACACACACACACAGAGTTGTCGGTCCAAAAACCCGATCAGAAAAACGACTCTTTGAATGAAGGTCTGTCAACTGTTTACTTCAGGTTTAGAAACAGCAGTGCCGTTCCTGTCCTGCAGGTGGTGCTGTGGCGTCACAGCACTGATCAGGACGTGTTCGTGTTCGTGTTCGTCAGATTATAAACTAGAACGTGAACGTTAACGACAGGAACTTCTGTGGTTGTTGGTTCTTCACCCAGGAACTGAGAGAGAAACACTTCTAGAAACAGTACCAGAGCTGTCTCTTTGACGGGGGGGGGGGGGGGGAAGTGGAGTTTCCTACGCGTCCCGCGTCTCTGGTCATTTCCTCACGGAGAAGCTAAAAGCACCAGCTGCTGTTCCTGGTACCGATCCCGATGCAGATCTTGTGCAAATGTTTCTGTTTGTTTATAGTAATTACTGTGATGGCAGTAAATGACGGTGATTTAGCAGCGTTTAGAGGCCGGTTCCATTATCACCAGGTTCTTCAGACCAGAGAGGAGAGACGGAGACGGGGGGGGCGGGGGGGAGAGAGGGAGAAGAGAAGCAGGAGGAGGAAGAGGAGGAATGTAAACAGGCAACAATGTTTAAGTAGAGACAAGGCAGAAGAGGAGGAAGAAGAAAAAAGGTTCTTCTTCTTCTTCTTCAGTCACGGTCACGTCATCACTTCCTGTCTGATATTCTTGTCATTTTTCTACCAGTTTATTCTTCATTGTTCTGGTACTGATTCACCGGTGATTTGACTCACAGAAAAGTCAGAGAATTCAAAAAGAAATGACTGGAAAATTGTATAAATGCGTAAATGGACCATGTGACCTTCAGGTCGAGTCACGCGTCACAGAAACACCAACCATGTGGCTTCCTGGAAAAACCAGATCAAATTAGTCAAATTAAAATGAACCAAATCCACCCTGGAGTTGACAAAGAAACAGCACGACGTCTGCCCAGGAACCGTTTCCTGCCAACGACCCAGTAAAAAGTGTTTGAATTTTTCTCAGATGTTTCTCGTCTTTACATGGAAAGAACTCAAGACGTGGGGTCTAATAACGGGACCTGAGGCCGAGGATGATGGGAAACGGTGTCTAATAATAAATCAACACTGGGCTAACGCAATTAGAGCGGCACCAGGAGCAGGGAGCAGATGGATGAGAGGACGGAGGCGCTGTTACACCGTCAGAACAGATTCACGGCTCAGGTCAACCTGAAGGAACACACACACACACACACACACACACACACTCCACTCGTCATATAAAACCCATCTTCACTTTATCACCCGACCCTTTTTTCTCCTGCACCACGGTTTGAAACCCTAACTGTTCGTATTCTCGGGGCAGTTCTGACCGATCTTTATCTGATCGTGAACTAAAAATCACTGATTTTCTCCAGACGACGGCTAACACTGCGTTAGCCTTCAGCTATCCTTCGGCAATTATTACTTCGTAAATCATTTGGCATTTGTTTCCTCCGACACAGTTCTACTGCTCAGCTAACTTGGTGTTGTGTGTGCTTGTTATTTTTTTATTATTTTTTTTATTTCTTGCAGTTAAAAAAAGACAAATATTTATTACCAAATAAAGTGTGAGTAACGTTGGCGATGCCTTCACTGCCTGAAGGAAAACTTCTCTGCTCTCACAGTGAAACAGGAAACATCAAGTTGAAGACAGCGACAGTACGATGTCCTGTCTACGTCTGTCCATGTGTGGACATAAAGAACTGTACTCCCAGAATGCAGTGGTGCGTCGACGCCGACAGGAACACCTGCCACCTACTGGAACCACCTGCAGCTGAACGTGTTCAAATCAAACAGCGTTCCATCGCCAGGTCTTCACTCGTTTGTCAAGTGTCAGTTGGCAGAGACGTGGACACGGCGCCGCCTCGGCCCGACAGGTTATTTATCTTCCACCTGTGATGAGGACGTGAAGCGCCGGGGCCCGCCGGACCCTCAACCCCTCGCTCTACTCCTCCAGCCCGAGTCTGCTTCGTGCAAATCATAATAAAATTTGCAATAATTTGACATTTAATATATTGCAAGTGGGAGAGAGAGAGAGAGAGAGAGAGAGAGACAGAGAGAGAGAGAGAGAGAGAGACTGGTTCCTGGTTAAGTCTCGACTCTGTGTTCCTCCTCCTGGTCTCACTCTGGACCATCACAGCTTGTACTCCGACGACGCGTGTTAAAATGCTAATGCTTCATATTAACATATGAAGACAGAGTTAGCGTTCTGCGTCGCTCCAAACAACAATTAGGAGAAAAAGTTTAATGGAGACGTCAACGACTGTTTCCTCTCGCAACGACGGCGGTGACGATGGTGGGAACAGCTAGCCCGCTGAGGAGGAGAACTGTCCCCGATGATGTTAGCGACAGACGCAGAAATGACGTCAACTACGACCTTCGTTGCAGCTGACCCAAGTCCGCTTCCTTAACCACTAACCACTGCCCCCTGATGGCATGAATCGTCGAGAAAAAACCTGAATTATTTTGTGTTTGTCAGGAATCAAGACCTGTGTCTCAGGACTTTTTGACTGACCCTGGAGGATGGACACGATGGTGAAAGAGGGTCAGAGTAAAAACCAGACCAACAGTCTGGTCTTTCCAGTGAAACGGGGGGGTTGGGGGGGGGGGTTAAGAAAAGACCCTGGTGGTGAGAAATTGTCAGCAATTAAGAAGAACTGCAGGGTGCGCTGTCACTGAGAAGGGACTGCAATTACCTCACAGAAAATGGTTCTATGGCTCAGGTCATTAGCACCGATACTTAGTTTTAATGAGTGCAGTTCTTCCAGAGTCCAGTCGGAGTGTGACAGGAAGTGCACGTTTGTTCTTCTTCTTCTTCTTTCTCACGTGCACTCGATAACGTGGTTATTAAAATGGAATGAAACAAGATTTAATGGAACAAAATATACTGAGAAATATAATAAAAACATTTAGCTTTAAAACATATAAACTCAGCTGGAAATAATTTAGTCACACCGGGAGAAAAAAAAAAAAAAAAAATAGTCCTTTAAACAGAGAAGTAAATATTAAAAGTAGAACTGGTAAAATATGAACTGGTAAAAAAATTGAACTGGTAAAATATGAACTGGTAAAATATGACGACAGTGTGCATACACTCCAGCCCAGTAGGTGGCAGTAATGCACCTAAACATAATTTGCCAACTGAAAAAGATGAGTACAGTGATTACTGGTTACTGTTATTTGACTCCGGTGTCAAACTATGTTTACATGATGTTAGTTATCTGTACAAAAAAAAAAAAAAATTTTAAAAACCAAAAAACCCTAAGGTTTGCGACCTTGAAACCGTGTGTTACAC